AGAAATTGATTTCCACAGTGGTTTCACCACTCTGTATTCCCACCAGGGGTGGAGTAGGGTTCTATTTCTCCACAGCCTCTCCAGCATTTCTTATTGGTTGATTTCTTAATGATAGCCATTCTTACTGGGATGAGATGAAATCTCAATGTTGTTTTAATTTGCATTTCTCAAATGACTAATGTTGTTGAACATTTTCTCATGTATTTATTTGCCATTTGTATTTCTTCATCTGAGAAGTGTGTATTCATCTCAGCTGCACATTTTTGGATTGGGTCTTAGAAATTGGGGGGGGGCTGATGTTTTTTAATTCTTTATATGTTCTGCATAGAAGCCCTTTGCCCAAGGGACAGTCAGCTAAAATTTTTTCCAATTTGTGGGTTTTCTTTTTACTCTGCTGGTGATTTCTTTAGATGTGCAGAAACTTTTCAGTAGGATGAGATCCCAGATGTTGATTCTTTGAAGTGTTTCACTTGCAGTTTGGTTTTTGTTCATGCACTCTCTGCTCACCCCTATGTTTTCAAGGTTTTTTCCTATTTTCTCTTCCAATCTATTTAGTGTTTCTGTTTTAATATTGAGATCTGTGAACCATTTTGACTTGAGTTTAGTGCGTGGTGATAGACTTCAGTCTATTTTCAGTCTTTAGCAGGTGGAAGCCAATTTTTCTAGCAACATTTATTAAAGAGGCTATGTTTTCTTCCAGTGAGTTTGTTTGGCCCCTTTATCAAAGATTAGGTGGCTGAGTCTGTTTGTGGTTGTGGCTGTTTCTTTCAGTCTGTTCCATTGATTCTCTGGTGTTTTTTAGTCAGTACCATGTTGATTTTATTACAGTATCTTTGTAGTATAATTTTATGTCAGGGAACATTTAATTCAAAAAAGAAGCTCACACATTAAAACATAAGGATGGAAATCAATATCCCAAGCAATGGGAACTAAAAAAAAAATCAGGAGTTTCTATCCTAACTTCAGATAAAGTGGATTTCAAACCAAGTCTTATCAGAGAGACAAAGAAGGTTGCTACATATTGGTTAAGAGAACAATTTAACAGGAAGAGTTAACAATTATAAACCTGTACAATCAAACACCAGTGAACCCGAATTCATAAAGCACACACTAATGAACATGAAAAATCAGTTAAACACCAATATAATAGTAATTGGGGATGTCAATATCCCCCTGTCAAAAATGGACAGATCAACTAGATGAAAAATCAACAAAGAAACATCACAGCTGACCATCCCTTCAAACAAATGGACGTAATAAATGTCTACAGAGTACTCCATCCAAAATCAACAGAATACACAATCTTCTCAGCAGCATATGGGACTTTCTCCAAAATAGACCACATACTAACCCCTGGAGCATGCTTAAGTAAATGCAAAACAGTTGAAAAATTATTCCATGCATATTATTGGATCATAGTTCATTGAAACTAGAAATCTATGGCAAAAGATACCACAGAAATTATGCAAACATATGGAAATTAAATAATACCCTACTGATTAATCAATGGGTCACAGATGAAATTAAAGAAGAAATTATAGATAGCTTCTATAATCAAACAATAGTGACAATGAAGCATAAGAAAAGCAATGCTGGGCAAAAAGGGCAAGGCAAGGGGCATCACTATCCCAGACTTCAAGTTACTCTACAAAGGTACAGCGACAAAAACACCATGGTATTGGTAAAACAAAACAAAAATCCACACTCAATCCCCCCACCAAAAGAAACACCAGACTTGTGGATCAATGGAACAGAATAGAAGGTGTAGAAACAACTTTAGGCATGCTCAAATTCCTTCATTGGTGGAAAGATAGCTCCTTTAACAAATGGTGCTGGGAAAACTGGCTATTTACATGCTGAAGGCTGAACTTAGACCCATATGGCTCACCATATACTAAACTAAAGTCAAAATGGATCAAAGATCCAAACATTAGGAGAAGCAGTCTTCTGGAGGACAAAATTAGCTAAAACTCTTGAAGACATAGAGGTAGGAAAAGATTGTAAATAAAACCCTGGTTGTATAAGAAGCAATATCAGGAATCAACAAATGGTATCTTATCAAATTTTGAAGCTTCTGCTCAACAAAGGAAAACACTAACAGAGTGAAGAAACAAACTATGTAATAGGAGAAAAATTTTGCCAACTACTCCACAGGCATAGGACTAATATCTCAAATATCTAATGAACTCAAAATTTAGCTGCCAGGTTTAAAGACCCAATTAAAAAATGAGCATCTGAAATGAATTTTTTTTTTTGTACCAGGAATCAAACTCATGTCCTTGTGCTTCTCAGGCAGGTGTTTTGCCACTGAGCTCTATCCCCAGCCCCTGACATGAAGAGACACTTCTCAGATGAAGCAATACAAATGGCCAATAAACATATGAAAAAGTGTTCTAGATTTCTGGCCATTTGAGAAATTCAAATTAGAACAACACCAAGATTCCATCTCACTCCATAAAGAATGGCTATCATCAATAAATCAACTACTAACAAATGCTGGTGAAGTGGTGGGAAGAAAGGAACCCTTGTACACTGTTGTTGAGGGTGTAAACTGATACAACCATTATGGAAATCAGTATGGAGATTCCTCAAGAAACTAAACTGGAGGTCCTATTTGACTCAGCTCTTTCCCTCTCAATATCTATCTAAAAGATTTTTAGAAATCATACACAGTGATATATGCACACCCATTACTATGGCATATGTCTAGACGTCTCATGCAGTCATAGGTGGGTCTTTCTCAGAGGTGGCTGTATCTACAGTGTGTGATGTTAGGACTGATTCATGGTGTCATGTTAAGATCAAGAGCACTAGGATTAAGGATGTGAGTGTTACCCACCCTGAGTAGCCTGGATAAGATATAAGGGATAGAAAGAGCTGTGGTTGCACCTTGTTTGCTTTGCTATCTTCTGGTTGTCATGAACTGTTTCTCCTTGGTGATGCTTGTCTGCCATGCCACCCTGCCTTGAAGCCAGGTGACTGTGGACTGAAACCTCTACAAATTTTCTTCCCTTAACTTGTGGATGTTGGGTATTTTGTCTCAGCAATGAGAAAAATAACTAAGACACCCATGTTTATAGCAGCATAGTGCAAAATAACTAAATCTTGGAAACAGCCTATATGTTTTATCAACAGAAGAATAGATAAGTAAAATGTTTTATTTATATACAGTGGAGTAATACTGTGCTGTAAAGAAGGATAAACTTGAGTCGTTTGTAGGAAAATGGGAGCACCTTGAGACCACCATGTTACATGAAGTAAATCAGACAATTTAAATATCGTGTGTTGTCTTTTGTATGAAAAAATATGTAAAGTAGAAAATAAAAGACAGATACAAGAAAAAAATTTATTGGAATCTAACATGGACAAAGTATCTAAATGTGTATCTTGATTTAATATCATTGTCTATGTGTTTTTTATATGTTTTAGCCTATTAGCACAATTGTTAATCTGAATATATGATAATTAACTTTCTAAGATAAATAAATGAATGTGATGCTGGTGAAAGAAAAGGCTGGTGCAGGGAATGTGAAAAAAGAAAGAATTGAGATCTGTTATGTACACGTAGTAATTCTGTATAATGAATATATTTGTTATGTAGTGGAAACAAGTACTAATCAAAATTTTTATCTGTTTGATTTACCAATAGTCATAAGAAGTATGCTTATATCTCTAATTCTGATGATACTTTTGTCAAAATTTTTCTATATTTCTATCAATTTTGTTGATATTTTTGTAAATCTAGTAATATAAATATAACATATTTCAAATTCAGAAAAATTATTATTTTGCTCTCTGTTCTCCACTTCCTCTCATCATGTTATTTTCATGTTTGAAAATTTGATTTAAGGTTTTCATCATTTTTATTTTTTCCTCTTTTCTAAAATGCTGTTATGTATCTTGATATTGATAACCATATTTCTATTCTTCTTAAGTCAATTTTCTTTTTATATCTCTGCTCTAGCTTCTCTTGATACTTTCTCAGAGTGTTCATGAACATGATAGCCCAAATTCATTAAGTAACCATGCCCATTCTGTTTATTCCTTCTACTCTGAATTTTTCTCTTGGTCACTTGGTTCCTTTTAGAGATGATTTGTTATTGTTATTCTGCCAATAACGTCCTGTAGTTTTTGGTATAATGGTAAAGTCATTTCAAAGTAATTTATAAACATGCTTTCTGCATTATTTTTATGGCATAATTATAGTAAATGTGGGTGTGGCTTTATTTTAATGTACTTACTATGTGGGCTAGGGTATGGAAAGGAAGGAGCACCTATGGCCTTCAAGAAATAAAACTTTCTGCTTCGAGTACAGGCAGAATTTTAAAAGGCCTAATTAAAGTAAAATTAGGGACTGCAGGATTACAGAGTATACCAATAATAGCATGGGTATTGCGGAAGACTTTTTGTAAGTCTGTATTTGAGCAGATATTATTTTACTAATTTGTTTTTCCAACCATGAGATTGAAAGTCACAGTCTCTGGCACATTTACTGTTGTTGCAAACATACATTTTGCCTGGCTCTAGCTCAAAGGTTTGGATGGCACCAGAGTGGGATGGAGAGAACGAGGTTGCAATCCTTTTTTTTAAAACTTTTTTTTTTTTTTTATTTTTGGGTTGTTTTTTTGTTTTTGTTTTTTTTTTCCCGTTACCGGAAATCTAACTCATGACCTTCCACTTGCATGGCAGGGGCTGTATCGCTGAGCTAAATCCCCAGCCCCGAGGTTGCAATCCTTAACTTGAGTATTTGCATATTGTTTACTTTCTAGACAGTAATTCCAAAACCAGAAGTCCGATTAAAACTAAATCCTCACCAGGCACGCGTCATCCTAACCTGAGAAACTCAAAGGAAACTTGCTATCGTCAATAGTTAAGATAGCCTGTTGCCCTTTCACACCGACTGTCGGACAGCACTTCCTTGGCAGGAGGAGCTCCGGCCCAGGCCCCGCCCCTGCCCCGCCCCTGCCCCGCCCAGACCCCTGCTCTGAGGCTCTGTGGGTCTGCGCGCGCAAGCTACACCTCTCTTCATCTCAACGCCTCAACAGCTGTTCTCAGCCAGCTCCAGGACAGCGGAGCCATGTTCCTGCTTTTAGTGCTTCTCACCGGACTTGGGGCGCTGCACGCAGACCACAGTGAGTCCAAACGTGGTCCCTTCACTCAGCTGAGGCATCTGAGCTTTCGTTGTTCTCCCATGGACTGATTCCTTCCCGCCCCAGACCCAGGTTGAGACTTTGCCGTGGGTCCATGCTCACACTGGCCATTTCCAGTCTCTTTTCCTGGGCAGAACGGCAGAGAGGCACCTTAGACAGAGAATATTTGTACTTCCCAGGGCAGTTTTCTTACCTAGAAAGTGGACAAAAAGGAAACCTTGTGTTACTACTGCTTGAAAATTTTGCCACCCTAGGAATAATTGCATCGCCACAAATAAGCTATTCATCTACGATTTCCTGGTTTGTCAACAGCTATCCTTTTCCTGCTCCACTGAAAATTGTGTATCTAATATTCTGTCCTCTTTCCCCAAAATAATCTCACTTTCTTGATGAACATGTGTTTTCAAACTCCCAGGTCTTTACAGCACTGTAATTTGGTACTTGATGTTAGATTTGTTGAGCTGTTGAATTGATTGTGTGTGTGTGTGTGTGTGTGTGTGTGTGTGTGTGTGTGACAAGCAGAATAAAAATTGAGATATTGATAAGAGCTCAGAAATTTGTAGACAAGAATGACTAAAATGATAGTGGAGCCGGGTGTGGTGGCGCATGCCTGTACTCCCAGGACTCGGGAGGATGAGGCAGGAGTATTGCTGTGAGTTTGAGGCAGGCCTGGGCTACATAGCTAGTTTAAGGCCAACCTAAACTACATAGTGAGACCCTGTCTCAAAAAAGAAAAAAAAAAAAAAAAAGTGGACAGGAAGGCTGTATAGATTATTTAAAAGTAGCTTATTATTTAAAAGTATTTAAAAGTGGCTGCTAACCCAGAGAAACAAATACATAAGACCATACTTACCAAAATATCACTTATCTCTATTTTTAGATCCTCATAAAATCTTTGTGCAGACCACAATTCCTGAAAAGATTTCATCAGTAGATACAAGAAGAGATCCAGAAAATAATGTAATTTGGAAATAGTATTTTTACATCTTAGATTCTGTTAAGTTGCCTTTAAAATGTCAAGTTCAAAGCTGGTGAGCATAGGCAGGAGGCCGAATGAGAGCTCAGAACATTTTCACAACAACACATTGGGTGGGTATGAATATGCATAAAATTCTGTGTTCCTGTTTGGAAGGACTTTAGGTATAGTGTCTTAGTTACTTTCTTGTTGCTTGGACAAAATACCGAACACCCATAAATTAAAGTAGGAAAGGTTTATTTTAGCTCACATTTGGTAGAGATTTTAGTCCGTACTTGTTTGGTTCCAAGGCAGGGTAGCATGGCTGAGGGGTATGGCAGAGGAGAAATAGTCCATGGCAGGGCAGGTAGGAGGCAGCATGCAGTGAGCTTTCCTGTGTTTTTTTATTCTATCCAGGGTACAAGCCCATTGGTTGGTGCCTTTCACACCCAGGTGGCCCTTCCAATCATCCACACCCAGAACTATGCTAAACTGGTCAGTTAACTAATCCAGTTATCACATACCTATAATCCAGTATTACCAACCCATGATCCAGCCACCTCCCAAAAGCCCCATCTATAAGCGAATGAGGCTTTAGAGGAACATCTTGATATAAACCATAATGGATAGAATCCGTCAAGCACAAAACTTAAAGCAATAGAAAAAAGCTAGGATTCTTTTAAGGCAGGTTTAGACTGAGGCAATGAGGTGACTCATACTGTTTGTATTTGGCATGGTAATCTGGTGGGGAAGGTTCCGGCCAAGGATAACCATGAAAGTCAGGTGAGCTTCTCCCCAGAAATGGGGGCAGTGGTGAATAGTAGGCAGGGATGAAGTACACCTACTTCTCAGTTTAGAATTTTGAAGTTTCAAATATCCACATAGGAACGGAAACCAATACAATTGTTTAAATATTATTATTAATATTATCAATCTTTTAAAGCATAGGTTAAGGCAGATACATAATTTACTATATATTATTTACAAGTATTATTGGATTTTTGGGATACTTTTGTTCCAGGTTGCTTATATCATTACATTAAAAGGAAAACCGTATTTTGTCCATCTTAAAAAACAGTAAGTATTTTAAAAAGCAGTAAGTATTTTGCCTTTAAAAGCTTCAATTCTTTGTTTTCTCGATTTTTAAAAATTGTTATAAGTACCAGTTCAATTTAAATGCATTGATAGCTATTGCATAGTGGGAATTAGGGAAAGTCTTATGTATAAAAGAGAATAAAGCATGAATTTGGAATGGAGGAGCAAATATTCAGATACATTAACAGAGAAATGGATTTTTATTATTATATGATAAATATGTAAGTAGTAGTCTTTGGAAGTTTGGGAAAGTTTTTTTTTTTTTGGTCTTTTGGAGACGGTTTCCCTATGCAGTTCAGGCTGGCCTTGAACTCGCTTTGTAGCCCCGGCTAGTCTCGAATTCACTATGATCCTCCTGCCTCAGCCTCCCAAGTGCTGGGCTTACAGGCATATGCCACCATGCCCGGCTTGTGCCTATAAGTTTTAAAGGGCAAAAAAAACCCTATTCAGCACATAAAAGTACAGCCAACCTGGGAGATAAAGCTAGAGGGAGTCACAGAGCTAGGAAGAATAGCAGAAGAGTGAAGTGTAATATAAACCAGGTGACTGGACTGAGCACCCCCAGTTTTTAAATACAAGCTAGAGGCCCAATACAGTAATTATTTTAAAAATATCCTTCAAATTTGACATACTGGTGCTTATATACTCTCCAGAGAAGTATTTGGATGAATAAGAATTGAGAAAGTGAAATATATATGTGTAGATTACTCTGGATAAAAATCACTTGAGAACTGAAAAAATAAAAGACATAGAAAGAGTGAGACTTGACATGGTTGGGGGAAGTTATTTAGGATGGCAAGGATTTGCATGTAACTTTAAAACAGTGTTAACATAAAAAAGAGAGAGAGAGGGCTGGGGATTTAGCTCAGCAGCAAAGCGCCTGCCTGGCAAGCGCAAGGTCGTGAGTTCGGTTCCCGGTACTGGAGAAAAACCAAAAAAAAAAAAAAAAAAAAAAAAGAGAGAGAGAGAGGGAGGGAGGGAAGGAAGGAGAAAGGGAGGGAGAGAGAGGTTGATTCTAACTGCAGGAGAGAAAGTGCATATATTTAGTTCATGGCATATGTTGGGACCTGTAGCACAGGGGTTACAGTTAGCTTTAAATAAAAAAAAATAGTCACCTAGGAAAAGGACTAATGGTGGGCACATGATCTGAGAGCCAGTGAACATGGTAGTCATATGGATAATTGATAGGAGTGGTGTCAAGGTTTTGAATAGTTACTGAAGAGAATGAAAAGAAATTTTGATTAAGGTTATTTAAGGAAGTCAGGACTGAGCTAAACTTAGTATATATGAATTTGTACTGAGACCAAGCAAATCTGTTAAAATTTAGTCCTAGCTCTGCATTTTAATTTTGGGATTCAAGTACCACATCTGAAATCAATCACTGATGAAAACACGTATTTGAGGACTCTATGTTGGAAATCAGCATTTTGAGATACCTAATACTTTGAACTGTTCACTAACCTGCATTTTAGTGTGATGTGTCACTGTGGTAAAATGCCACCCTCAGTATGTGGTTTATGTGACAGGGAAGCATTTGGATAATAGAATGTACTATGTAGTGGACCCTACTTTAAATTTTTTAATATGCAGACAGTGTGTACATGAACAGTAAATTTTTTGTACTTCCCTTTTTCATTTGAGCATGGTTTTGTGATTTTGCCTAGGTCATTTTTATCTTCAGCTTCTGTTGTTTATTCTTATGACAAACGTGGTATACAACATTCTCAGACTTTGTTACCTCAGGTGAGTTCAAGGTTTTATTGTTACAGATTTTTCATGCTGTATTGTTTTTAAAAATATGAATCATCTATACATACTAGAATATTCTTTTATACAGTCAGTTAAATTGAACACCCTGTATGCATTGCTTATTTCTTCCCAACATAAATTTATCTGATAATTGACAGTCATATTAAAGTACTGAGATAGGTAAAGAAATAAATACAAATGACATATCTGCGGTATAAATTTCAAAAATAAGTCATCCATTTGCTTTTCTTTGTGTGTTTTTTTTTTGCAGATGGATTGCAGTTACAGTGGATATGTCACAGGTTTTCCACATTCTCTTGTGGCACTAATGACTTGTTCAGGACTCAGGTTGTAGACTAAAGATAATGTAATTTGCATACATTGCATCCTACTATCCTATAAATTAATCCTCCATTTATCTTTCCTAATTGTATAACCACATTTCTATTTCAGCTCCACAAGGATTCCATCAGAATTTGTAATAAAATAGAATTGGTCACCCTGGCAGCATCTATTCCTAAGAAGCTATTTGTTGATCCTGACAGGGTCTGCTACTCTAGGCTCTGAGAGGTCTTGAGTGTAGAGTCTAGATTGATATCTCCATGCTTCTTTACTTTTCCAAAATTCTGTTTTTGTCCTAACCTCAACTTCCTAGAATAATTTACAGTTCTAGAAACTCTGAAGGTGTAAACATTTTTGCTCTGTGTTGTTTAAGTATGTAGTACTTCAGTTAGGCCACATACATAAATGATTTAGAACAATAAGTATCAGATCAGAGGAAAGTTAGGTTTACAGATATTTGTGTAGTAAAATTCATCACTTTATTTTACACATACCTTATATAACAAATATAAAGGTCTTAATACTGAAGAAGGGAGTGCCTACAGATGCTATAGACTGGCCCAGAAAGGGCTATTAACTTTGTGTAAGAACACAAGCCCATGCCATTACCATGCAATCTTTAAAATAATTTTAAAAATGTTTGTAACAGAAAGCAACATGTACCTTGTGATCTGTTTCTGGTATAAGACCTCAAAGAACAAAGAGATAAAGTTAAAACAAAATGAAAGTGACTATGAGTTTTAAGGAAAAATTCTGGCCAAAATTTCTCATGCAAAATTAGCTTATAGATAGAGACTCTGCCTGCCCCCCCCCACTCATGGCTACTGGCATCCAGGTGAAAAGCAGCATGAGAAGACACAGAGACTGGCAGGAACGTCGGCCACATAGGCCCCCCAGCCAGAATGTACAGGTGGGACTATCAGCATGAAATTGTCAAAAGCAACAGTAACAATAAAAGCCAACAGGTGGCAAATTAGGTGATCCAGTATTGTGCTTGGGAACAAGGATACGTAGATTAGAAGCAGGTGAGTAAGGCTTTTCCTTTTCTCTTTTTTTTTTTTTTTCCTTCTGTCTCTTTCTTTTTTATCTTTTTTTCTCATTTCTAAATGGTTGGGGAGAAATCCAGCTACAGAAAACTAATCCCATCCCCCAAACCCAGAGACCAAGTTCGATAATTACTTACTCCTTTGTTCTTTCCCTCTTCTACCCTCTTCTCTGTTTTCCCAAAGCTTGCAGAATCATCTTTTGTTCTCCAGCCTAGTTTCTACTTTCTGTTCAGGTATCTTGGTTTTATCCACTGACTTCCCTAAATTTCCCACCACAGGGTAAAAAACCACTCTACTTTGCATACAAGCTCCCAATTTATGATCAGTTCTATAATATAATTGTAGATTTGCTTCTATGTTTAAAGGTACAACATTAATAATTGCTACAGTTTGTCAGTGTCTAAACTGCTAGATACTATTGTTACTGCTAATTATATTACTTTAGCTAGGATGTCATTTCTGTTTTAATCAGTTGTTTTCACTTCTGTAACAATAGTGAAAAGTTCTGGGGTAATAACCTCACCACACTCCAACACCAGACGATTGGGGACTGAGCCAAACAGATAGCAACATTTCCCTCTTAATTAATTGGAAAGATAAGATCTTGGGACAGCCACAAACCATGTCTTCCTATATATAGAAGACATTCCTGAAGAACAAACCTTACCTAGAGAGGTCTTGATACTAGTGGTATAGCTGTCTACTACAAAAACTTACAAGGATCAACACAGAAAACAAAATAAAAACTTTTGAAATAGAAAATGACAAGATGCAGAAGGAAAATGCACCCTCAAGACCTCCAGCCCACCCAGAACAAGTCCAAGAGACAACAAGATAGAGGAAAATCTAGGACACATACCTGACATTTCTGAAATAATAACAACTGAAATAAAGAAACAAATCCATGAGGCTATAGAGGAAATTAGATAAATAATCTCTCAGGTAAAAAAGAAATGACAACTATAATGAAAGAATTACTCAGCATATCTAAAGAAGCCATAGATAAAAAAATAAAGGAGCATAGGAAAATGATAGAAATGTTGAATGAACAATATAGGAAAGAATTAGAATGCATGAAATGGATTCAAAGAGATAGCCAGGCAATTAAAAATTCCACTGAAAGCTGGTAAATTGGTTGAATGAAACTGAAGATAGACTTTCAGACCTTGAAGATGGTTGCAGCTAGCAGTTATGAAAGGAAAAACCTCTTACAAATTATAAGGAACCAGGACAGGTGCCCCACCTCCTGACACTGTTGTGGTGTGTGTCTGGGCCGTGGGAGACCCAGGTACAATTCATGAACTGGCTGGGGGGTCCTGGGTCTGTGCCCTGCCTCCTACTGCCATCACAAGAGATGTCTGAGCCCCAGGAGAACCAGATACATTCCATCAACCACCTGGGGATACCAGACATGGCAGCCCAACTCTCAGCAACATTGTGGGGCAAGTCTGACACACAGGAAACCTAGGAACACTCAGGACATTCAGTGAGTTGCCTGGGAAGAGTGAGGCTCTGTGCTCTGCCTCCTGCATCAAAAATGACAAGATGAAGGAGCAAAATGCAATCTTAGAACTCCACTCCACCCAGAGCAAGTCCAGGAAACATTGACATAGGAGAACTTGGAAGTCACACGTCTTAAATTTATGAAATGATTGCAACTGAAATAAAAAACCAATTCCATCAGGCCACAGAAGAAATCAGATCGAAATAATCTCTCAAGTAAAAAAAGAAATGGTAACAATACTGAAAGAATTGCTCAGCACATCTAAGGAAGAAATAGAGAGAGAGAAAGAGCATAGAAAAATGACAGAAACCTCAAATGAACAATATAGTAAAGAACTAGAATGCATGAAACAGATTCAAAGAGATATCCAGGAAATTAAAACTTCCATCAAAATCTGGCAAAAGCTATTGAATGAAAATGAAGATGCACTTTCAAATCTTGAGGACAGCATTGCAGGCAATGATCACAAAAATAAGGTCTCTTAAAAATAGCAATGTATCAGGAAATATCAACTCAAGAGGTGCAAGATGATGCAAAGAAAAACAAATGCAAGACTAATAGATATCAATGAAACAGCAGAAGGCAACACAAATGACATAAAAAGACTGTTGAAGAAGTAATAGAAAATTTCCCAAGCATGGGAAAGTAATCTGACATACATAAAAGTGAGACATATAGAACTCCAGTTAGCCATAATGAAAATAAATCTATACCCAGATATATGATTATCAAGATTCCAGAAATTCAGCACCAAAACAGAATATTAGAAGTATAGAAAAGAAAGGGAAAGGCCATCAAAATCACAGCAGATTTCTGAACACCAAACATCAAGTCCAGAAGAGCTTGGAATGAAGTATTTTAGGTCCAACAAGAAAACCTCAAACCCAAATTGATGTACCCTGCAAAACTATCTTTAAAATGAATGGAGAAATAAGATACTTCCATAACAAAGAACAGTTGAAGAAATTCATGATCACCAAGCCAACCCTACAAAGAATACTGAAAGATATTTTAGGAAGCGATAAAAATGACTACAAATCCAAGAACAACAACAGAAAGAAACCACAAGGCAGGCAAGCAATGAAACAGGAAAAGTAGGGAAACAGCAACAGGAAAATAACATGACAAAGATAAGCTAATACATTTCCATTATAACCATTAATGTAAAAGTCCTCAAGTCATCAATCAAAAGAAACAGATTTGCAGAATGGATCAAGAAACAAAATTCAACAATATGCTATATACAAGAAACATATTTGACTCAAAAGGAAATTCATAGACTGAAAGTCAAAGGATGGAAAGCAATTCTCCTTGTGACAGGAACCCAGAAAAAAAGCAGAGGTAGCTATTCTGTTTGCAGACAATGTGAACTTCAACCAAGAATGGTCAAAAGGGATTTAAAAAAAAGGTAAATACATACTTTTTAGGGGAAAACTTCAAGAGGAAGAGATAACAATCATAAATATGCATGCACTGAATAAGGGAGCACCCAACTATACAAGAAAAATCTTAATAGTTATGAAAAATCAAATAACTAATAACACAATTGCAATGGGAGACATTAACACCCCATTGTCACAGATAGATCAACTAGACAAAAACTAAGCAAAGAAATAACTGAACTAAACCAAACTTATGAACAAATGGGCTTAGTAGACATTTACAGAACGTTTCACTCCACAACATCAGAATACATGTTCTTCTCAGCTTCACACAGGATGTTCTGTAAAATAGAGCACATACTAGCCCATAGAACATGTTTAAGTAAATTGAAAGCAATTAAAATTATCCCATGCGTATTATCTGATCCTAGTACAATGAAATTGGAAATTAATGATGAAAGGAACCACACAACCTCCATAAAGACATGAACATTAAATAACAGCCTCCTGAACTACCAATGGGTCACAGATGAAATTAAAGGAGAAATTAAAAAATAGCTATAATCAAACAAAAATGTATAGTAATCCCTTGCTATATTGTGGTTCATTTATTGTGGCTTTGCTATTGTGCATTTAAAAAATATATCTAATTCTGTATTGTGGAGTTTTCCCTATTTTGTGGGATTTTGTGGTATATAGGTATTTATATAATATTTATGAGTTTAATTATTTCTGCCTAAAAAATTTAAAACTATAAAAATATAAAAAGTTTAATTCAAACATATACAAAGAATATTAAATCAAAATAAAATACAATATGTATTTCATCAGCAGATTAATACTGTACTGTACACAATGGAAATACAGTACTCCACTACCTACCTCTTGCATAAGTTTGCCAACATGAGATTGTGCATGGCACACTACTGGCTGATGGAATGGAAGGTGACCTACCACAGTACTGTGTTCTTTATCCTTGATGCTGATTGGCTCAGTGACAGTAGAATCAGTCTGTTTGCTCTCCTGCACAGCGCCAATATGTTTAGCATCTCATCTTGTCCACTTCATATTAACATTTACATTGACGTCTGATCACTGCACATAGTGTTACTCTGCAGTGTTGTGTTTTTGTGAAATTTTCATAAAAGTTTTAATTTATTTCAAGCTCTATGATGCCATCCAAACATTCTTCTCCTTTTAAGGCTTCTGACAGTGAACACTCTTACTTTATGCATTTTCACCTATCACAGGGGTCTCTGGAACATAACTCCTGTGATTGGTGAGGGATCACTGTAAATACAACTGATCAGAATCTGTGGGATGCAATAAAAGCAGTTCTCAAAGGGAAACTTATAGTGGTAAACTCACACATTAGGAAAACACAATGAAAACAAATAAATATCCTAATGGTACACCTTAAACTTCTAGAAAAAGAGCCAGTCAAGCCCAAAGCCCAAAGAAGGAAAGATATGATAATGATCAGGGCAGAAATTAATGCAAATGAAACAAAGAAAACAATAAAAAGAATTAATGAATCAAAGAGTTGGTTCTTTGAAAGAAATAAAATTGACAAACCCCTAGCCAACCTTATCAAAAAAGGAAAGAAAAAATACAATTCATATAGCATAGAATAAAAAGCTTAAAATCACTACAGATCCTATACAAATTCAGAAGGTCATCAATACATACTTCAAAAATCCTTACTCCTATAGGATGAAAAACACAGAAGAAATGGATAGACTCCTAGATATATAGGAATTACCAAAGCAGAATCAAGAAGATATAAACATTCTGAATTTCCCAATATCAATTCATGAGATTGAAAACATGATTACAAACTTACCACCAAATAAAATACCAGGTTCCAGTGGATTCACAGCTGAATTCTACAAGAAATTCAAAAAAGATTTAATACTGATACTCTTCAAATTCTTCATTGAAATTGAAAGAGGAGAAATCCTCCCTAAATCATTTATGGAGGCAAGTATTATTCTGATATCCAAACCAGAGAAAGACCCAACCGGAAAACAGAACTACAGGCCAATCTCCCTAATGAACCTATATGCAAAAATCACCAATACAATACTAGCAAACAGAACGCAGCAAATCATCAAGATTATACACCATGATCATGTGGGATTCATCCCAGGGATGCAGGAATGGTTCAATAAATGCAAATCCATAAATGTAATATGCCATATCAAGAGAACCAAATACAGAAACTATATGATCATCTCAATAGATGCAGAAGTCCAACACTCATTCATCATAAAAACCCTACAGAAAATAGGAATAGATGGCCTTTACCTCAATCTGACCAAAGCCATCTGTGACAAACCAAATGCCAACATCATACTAATTGGACAAAAACATAAAGCATTTATTTTAAAATCAGGAACAAGACAAGGAAGAATGTCCACTGTCAACACTCCTTTTCAACACAGTTCTTGAAACATTAACCAGAATTATTAGACAAGAGAGAGAAATAAAAGGAATAAGGATAGGAAAGGAAGTAGTGAAATTTGAGAGAGAAATAAAAGGAATAAAGATAGGAAAGGAAGAAGTGTCATTGTTTGCAGACAACATGATTCTCTAAATGGAAGACCCCCCCCAATAAAAAACCACCAAAAGACTCCTAGGATTAATAAACATATTCAGTTTCATAGCTGGATACAAAGTTAGCACTCAAAAATCAATAGCATTCCTGTACATGAACAACAAACATTGAGAGAAATTAAGGAAACCATACCTTTCACAACAGCATTTAAAAAATTGAAATATTTAGAAATCAATCTAACAAAAGAATTAAAAGATCTATACAGTGAAAATTATAGTACTGTGAAAAAAGATTGAAAAAGATTTCAGAAAATGGAAAGACGGAGGCTGGGGATTTAGCTCAGTGGCAAAGCGCCTGCCTGGCAAGCGCAAGGTCATGAGTTCGGTTCCCGGTACCGGAGAAAAACCAAAAAAAAAAAAAAAAAAAAGAAAATGGAAAGACATTCCATGCTCATGGATAAGAAGAACCAACATTGTGAAAATGACCATACTCCCAAAATTGTTATACAGATTCAATGCAATCTCAATCAAAATATCAGTAGTATACCTCACAGACCTAGAGAAAAGCATTCCTAAAATTCATCTGGAACCAGAAGAGATCCAGAATCACAAAAGCAATCCTGGGCAACAAAGGCAAGACAGGAGGTATCACAATCCCTGAGTTGAAATTATACTACAAAGCTACTGTGATAAAATCAGCATGGTATTGAAAAAAAACACCAGGCCTGAGGATCAGTGGAACAGACTGGAAGATGCAACCACAACCACAAACACACTCAAACACCTTATCATTGACAAATGGGTCAAGTATGTTCACTGGAAGAAATATAGCCTCTTTCATAAGTGGTGCTGGAAAAACTGGCTTTTCACATGCCAAATATTAAAACCAGACCCATGTCTGTCATCATGCACTGAACTAAAGTCAAAATGGATTAAATATCTAAATATTAAAACAGAAATATTAAATCCACTGGAACAGAAAGTAGGTAGAAATCTTGAAGGAATAGGGGTAGGCAGAGAGTTCATGAACAAAAACCAAAGTGCATTGGAAATACTTCAAAGAATCAACAACTGAGATCTCATCTTATTGAAAAGTTTTTGCACATCAAAAGAAATCACCAACACAATGAAAAAACAGCCCCACAAATTGGGAAAAAATATTACCCTGCTGTCCCTCAGACAAAGGACTTCTATCTAGAACATATAAACAATTACAAAAAAATCAGGCCCCCTTTATTCAAAGACCCAATATAAAAATGGGCATCTGGTATGAATACACACATGTCAGGTAAAGAAATACAAATCACAAATAGCATGAAAAAATGTTCAACATCATAAGTCATTTGGGAAATGCAAGCTAAAACACTGAGATTGTATCTCACTCCAGAAAGGATGGCTGTTATGAAATCAACCAAAATCAAATGCTGGAGGAACTGTAGGTAAGAAGGAACTCTTCTCCACTGTTGGTGGGCGTGTAGACTGGTGCAACTAGTGTGGAAATCAATCTGGAGATTTCTCAGTAACCTAGGATTAGAGGTCCCATTCAATCCAGCTATTTACCTTTGGATATTTTTCAGAAGATCTAAAAACAGCATATCACACTGATATATGTGCAGTCCTGTTTCTAGCAGCACAATTTGTAATAGCTAAATCATGGAAACAACCCAAATACCCATCAAGAGAGGAATGGATGGAAAAGCTGTGGTATTTTTATGTAATGGAATATTATTTAGCTATAAAGAAAAACTCGAGGCTTTTATAGGTAAGTGGTTGTAGCTAGAGGCCATACTCATAATTGAGATAAATCAGATTCACATGTATACACATCGTATTATGTCTTTAGTGTAAGAAACTGAAAGAGTAAATAAGATAAAAAAGGTACAATAGATATTGTAAAAGGGAAAGAAATTGCTGAGAAGGCAAGAACATCTGGGATGTGGAAAAGGAGGAAAGAAAGAAGGCAAAAGAAAAAAAAATATATATATAAGATAGCTAAGATAGTTATACTATTAATATCTTTTAGTTCATTGAAGGGAACGATTTGTGCTTATGTTTTTTGATCAATCTTGCATGCGTATGTCTTATAATATGCAGAACTACTTTGAAGATAATGGTATGTAATGTATTAACCCTTGTTTATTTTGTATTATCTTGTTTTGAAATTTCATAACATCATTTTTATTGTTTTTTCTCTTTAAAATAGAAAAGAAATTAGATTATTGTGATTGAATTAATTCAAACTTTCTTTAATTTATATTCAGGGGAGTAATGCAGTTTAAAAACGTTTCATATAAAATTGAACCACTGGAGGCTGTATCAGGGTTTATGCACTTGATCTATGAAGAAAACAATGATAACACTCATGTTCCTCTTTTTGGAGAAAATGATTCATTTGCTCAGCTTAATGATGTAGACAGTGAAGTGAGAAGCAGTATACACGTAAGCGTTAACTCTTGTTTTACTCGTTTTGTATAGTTTTGTTAAGTGATGAGTGCTTTTACATCCAACTTTGATTGCTGACTTGGTAATCTTTTTTTTTTTTTTTTTTTCTTTTTGAGGCAGGGTCTTGCTATGCAGTTCAGGCTGGCCTTGAGCTCACTTTGTAGCTCAGTCTGGTCTCGTGACTTGATAATCTTAACATTATTTTTTTCATGAAGGGTCTGCATGACTAAATGGCTAGTCACGGAATTTCTGCTCAACGTTATGCTTATCATTAGACACAAGTTTAACAAAATCTTAGGTAATTAATCTTGGAAATACATATAGGACTAAAAGATACTAAAACATTTACACATGTGGATTTTTAGATATATTTTACTTTTCCTCGATTACTGAGATAATTTACATTAAAATGTTAAATGCTTGTCTCATGAAAGTTCAAAACTGTGCAGTTTCAATGGCTTTCATAAGACACATGTAAAATAATGTTATGAATTTTTCCTCCACAAATTAGTTTCCTAATGATTGGTAAAAATAAATCTGTAATACTAATGCAAATATTAATATGGTTATTAGTAATACTAATACATAAATGATTAAGACTAATGTATAGACATATAGGGAATATAAATATTAATATGATTATTATTAACCATACTAATATATACACATGATTAGTTGCAGATTTTCACAAGGATAAGAAAAGAGATGCTTTATGTTATTAAACCTAAAATTTTATTTCAATTATTACAACAGTGAAAGATATCTGAGTTCCTTTATAAGTTTGAAAGCCTAACTGAAAATTCTTGCTAAGCACAGCACTTTTTGAATTAGAATCCTTAGACTAGTGCCTAAATTTTATATGTTAAAACAGCCATATTATATACTCAATAAGAACATATCTTTCAGTTTGTCTCTGAATAAAATTTCAAGAGAAGGTAAAGTTTTGTTGAGTCTTCAGGACATATTTTGTTTATTTTTCAGAAAACTAAATTTGCCAAGTTATTCCCTCGATACATTGAAATCTGTATCATTGTGGATAAAAATCTGGTATGTCTTAGTCTTTTTATTATTATTTTAAAATTATTTATTATATATCTTTAACTTGATTCTACTGATGCAATGGAAGTCAACCATTTTTATTTTGCATTTCCAAATAATACATTATAAAAATTATGAATAAAACAAATGTTATTAATTCCTTTACAGATAAGATCTCTAATTAATTTGTAAGATGAATCATCTTAATTTCTTAAATCTTATTGACTATTTTTCTTTTGTCAAAGAGGCTACATCCTCAGCAAAAGGATTACAACCTCCTAAAATTTTCAAGCCCTACTTACAATAGTTATATTTAACTACTTCATCATAATTGGAAGAGTTGTTATCAAGTAAAAGGAGAAAACCAATTATCTATTTTCTTCTTAGTTCTAGATAGATGAAACAAAAAATGAGCAAAATCATCATGTTACAAATTCATGACTGCCTTTCAAATCTCATATATATTTAGACTTTGAGTATATTAGCATATTTAGCTATGATTCTAATTTATGAGGCTACATTTGGCCCATGTTGTTTGATATACATAAGTAGTATTTATCTCTGGAAGAATGACACTTCAAGAAGAATATCTTATGATTATTACAGATTAATATCAGCAATATATGACCTCACAGTCCATAAGGCAGTAAATCACCATTGACAATAGTTAACACAAAGAAAAAGTAGATGAAGAGCCAGAAAACAATCAAATACTAAACATTTAAGATAGAGCTATAAAATAAAAACTTTTATTTTCCCTTAATATTTTCCCTTTTATTTCCCTGCTTCCAAGGAGGGAAATATGAGTTAGAGAAGCTGAGCTAAATGTTAGCAGTCATAACAAAAATTGAAATTGATGGTTCCCTAAAGCATTGGGTATATTTCAGTAGAGATAAATTGACCCAGTATAAAGCCAATGCAGGCTCTGGGAGCTGCTGGTCCCAAGGTTCATGTCCGTGCTTTGCTCACACGACCATGATTCCCAGTGAAACTCGCCAAGAGAGCCAGGTATTTCCCATCTACTTCCTGAGGGCAGAGCAGGTGACCCAGGACTCCACCACCATTACAGACTGAGTCTCTGCCCTCCCTGCACCTGCGGCAGAGAGGAGGTCCTCACTCAGAAGCTCGAGGGACTTCTCTGGCTGGGGGTGGGGCATGTAGCCTCTCCCACCAACGGCGCACCCTGCCCTAAGTGAGTGAGTTCTCCGGGAGCTGCTGGTCCTGCGGTTCGTGTCCGTGCTTTGCTCACACCACCACGGTTCCCAGCTGAAACTCCCCGAGAGAGCCAGGTTTTTCTAATCTACTTCCTGAGGGCAGAGCGGGTCACCCAGGACCCTGCCGACAATACAGACTGAGTCTCTCCCCTACCTTGACCTGCAGCAGAGAGGAGGTCCTCACTCAGAAGCCCCAGGGACTTCTCTGGATGGGGGAAGGGCATGTAGCCTCTCCCAGCGCTCACGTACCCTGCGACCAGTTGCTGGTCCCACGGTTCGAGTCTCTGCTTTACTTTCGCCCAGACCCCCTATCAGGTCAAAGGCATGGGCAGTCTGTGACTGCTACCCATCCAGCCTGCATCTGGTTCCTGTATATATCCTGAACTGACTGGAGATATACAATCAGGTGGTTTACAAACTGTTGACCCTGCAGTTTGTGTCTGGATTTTGCCTGTACCCTGAACTGCCTGGGGACATAGGCCCACCGGACTGGGATTGTCACACCAGTGCAACCAGCATCTGGGCCATGCATGTGCCCTAAACTGCAAGGGGATGCTGGATCAGATGGTTGGCCATCAGCTGACACCAATGCCCATGTCTGAGAAAGGGGATAAGTAGATATAAATCAAAAACTGCTGGAAAACCGCACACTAAGTAGTGCTTCTCAGAGGTCACTCAGGGGCAAACCTGACCAACAGGAAAACTAGGGACACTAGTGGCCTTTGCTGAGCAGCTACTGAAGAGGAAAACTGAGCTTTCTGCATCTGGTAGCAAACATGACAAAACAAAGAACTAAAACACAATCCCAGAACTCCACCCCACTCAAAACAAGTCCTGGAGGCATCAACATAGGAGAACTTGGTAAACACAGGGGTGAAATAGCTGAAATGATTGCAATGGAAGTAAAGAATAAACTCCATAAGATCACGGAAGAGATGAGATCAGAAATAATCTCTCAGGCAAAAAGTGAAATGACAATAGTAATGAAGGAACTGCTCAAAAAGTCTGAAGAAGAAACATATAAGAAAGTAGAAGAAGAAAGGCAAGGGTCAGAAGCATTCAATGAAAAATATAGAAAGGAGGCTGCTGGGGCACAGAGAGGCCCAGGGGCCAGGCGGGGCAAGCAGGCTCTCTGAGCCGGCCGAGCAGGCTCCCCCAGCCGAGAGAGGGAGTTCACCGGGAGTGGTAGGCCTTGTGAGTTTGAGTCTGTGCTGGACGCACACCACCAGGATTCCCAGCTGAAAAGTGCACAGAGAGCCAGGTACCTCCCATCTAATCCCTGAGGGCAGGAAACAAGAAGAAAGACCCCACGGACATTACAGATTGAGTTGCTGGGGCACAGAGAGGCCCAGGGGACGGGTGGGCGAGCAGGCTCTCTGAGCTGGCAGAGCAGGCTCCCCCAGTCCTGTGCGACTTGCGCCCAGACAGCAAGTTCTCCGGGAGCAGCAGGGCTCATGGGTCCGAGTCTGTGCTGGATGCACACCATCACGATTCCCAGCTGAAACGCGGGGAGAGAGCCAGGTACTTCCCATCTAATCCCTGAGGGCAGAACGGGTGAACGAGGACCCCACCGACATTACAGACTGAGTCACTGTGGTGGCAGAGAGGAGATCCAGACTGAGCGGCCCAGGGGACTTCTCCGGCTGGGGGCTGGGCGAGCAGGCTCACTGAGCCAGGTGAGCAGACTCTCTGAGCCCCGTGCACCCTACCCCAAGAGAGCAAGTACTCCGGGAGCTGCAGGGCCCATGGATTCGAGTCTGTGCTTTGCCTTTGCCAGACCCTCCAGCAAGTAGAAGGCTGGGGAAGTCTGTGACTGCTACCCATCTGGGCTGAATCTCATTCCTGTATGAGTCCTGAACTGAGTGGAGACATAGATTTAGGCAATTCACAAACTGTAGACACTGCAGTTTGTGTCCGAATTATGCCTGTACCCTAAACTGCCTGGAGACATAGGTCCACTGGAGTGGGATTGTCGCATCAGTGCAACCTGAGTCAGGTCGTGCACGTGCACTGAACTGCAAGGGGACGCTGGACCAGAAGGTTGGCCATCAACTGACACAAGCGCCTGCGTCTGAAAACGGGGTTAACTAGATACAAATCAAAAACTGCCGGAAAACCCGAAGCTAAGTAGAGCTACTCAGAGGTCACCCAGAGGCAAACCTGAACAACAGGAAAAATAGGAACATTAGTGGCCTTGGATGTGCAGCTACTGAAAAGGGTAACTGAGCTTTCTGCAACTGATAGCAAACATGTCAAAACGAAAGACTAAAACACAATCCCAGAACTCCACCCCAATCAGAACAAGACCAGGAGACATCAACATAAGAGAACTTGGTAATCACATGCCTGAAATAACTGAAATGATTGCAATGGAGGTAAAGAAACAACTGCATAAGGCCATAGAAGAGATGAGATCAGAAATAATCTCTCAGGCAAAAAGTGAGATGACGAGAATAATGAAGGAAATGCTCAAAAAGTCTGAAGAAGAAATCTATAAGAAAACAGAAGAACAAAGAAAAGAGTCAGAAGCGTTCAATGAAAAATATAGAAAGGACTTAGAACACATGAACCAGATTCTAAGAGACTTCCAGGAAAACAAAGCTGCCACTGAAAGCTACCAAAACTGCTTGAATGAAGCTGAAGATAGAATCTCAGACCTTGAAGACAACATGGCAGCTAGCGACCGGGAAAGAACGGATCTTGTA